AGCTAGCAGGTGTGTGCTATCTCCCCGTGTGGGTGGCCGCCGGGCACGTGCCATCTTCCACGCGGGTGGCTGGTGGGCGCGAGCCATCCCCTGAGTGTCATCTCCCACACAGACGGCTGGTGGGCAGGTGTCATCTCGTGCACGGGAGGGTGCATGTCATCTCTTGGCGGGTATGCATCATCTCTTGGCAGGCCAGCGTCATCTCCTGCGCAGGCAGCTGGTGGGCAGCTGGTGGGGGCCGGCTGGCAGGTGCACATCATTGGAAGATCTTTTAACATTTCAATGTTAACTAAACTTTTTGGCTCCAGAGACTAGACCATACATAACCTCTTCAAAGATCTTCACAAGTGATTTAAATCTTGGTGGCTTGCCCATCAACAAATGAATGGATAGAGAAGCTGTGGTATATTCCCACAATGGAATACTATGCTGCATAGAAAAACAAGGAACTCATGCAATATTATTCAGGATGGGTGACCCTGGAGGACATTATGCTGAGTGAAATATCTCAGTCACAGAAGAACAAACACTGCACAACCTCTGTAGAATGGGACTGATATCAGGGTTAAGGTAAGAATGAGGAAAAAATGGATGAATTATGTATATTGCACTGAAACCAATGAGGAAGAGAACAGTTTGAAATCAATATATTTTAGGTCATTATGATTATCATAAGAGTCTGGAATGAAGGTTGCAGAGTGGAGTATACTTGGGGTAGGGGTGAGGGGCTGCGGGGGGGATTGTATACCAATGAAAGAATTTTTCTTTTACTTTTCAAAGAGAAGAGTGAACTGGGGGTGGGGGTGGGGTGGGCGGGGAGAGAAGTGCAACAATGAGCGAATGGAAACCCAAAATCTCTGTAAATGTTCATTGAAATTAATAATTATTGTTGTTGTTATGTGCCATCAAGTCGCTTGCAACTCATAGTGACCCTATGTACAGCAGCCCTAAACTCTGCTCTGTCCTATACCAATTGCACCATCTCCAATACAGCCATCCAAATTACCCCAGTCACTGAATCAATCCACCTCATAGAGGGTTTTCCCCTCCTGTGCTGTCCCTCCACACTACCACGCATGATGTCCTGCTCCAAGGACCAGTCCTTCCTTACAACATGTCCAAAGTATGTTAGACGGAGCCTCAGAATCCTTGCCTCCAAGGAGCCGCCTGATTTAACCCTTTCCAGGATGAATCTCTTTGTTTTCCTAGCAGTCCTGGTACCCTCAATACTCTTCTCCAGCACCAAAGCTCAAAGGCATCAATTCTCCTTCTATCCTCCTTAGTCATTGTCCAACTCTCTGATGCATAACAAGTGATAGCAAAGACCATGGCCTGGATCAGACGCACTTTAAGCTCCAGAGAGACACCATTGCTTTTCAGTACTTTGGAGAGGTCCCTAACAGCTGGCTTTCCCATGGCAATACATCTTTTTTTCCTGGCTACTGGGGCCAAGAGTGTTGACTGTGGAGCCGAGCAAACTGAAGCTGTGAACACTCTCAATCTCTTCATCATCCATCCTGATATTGCCAGTTGGTCCAGTGGTGAGAATCTTTGTCTTCTTGACATTGAGCCTCAATCCATATTGAAAGCTGCAGTCCTTAACAATCAGCAGCATCAAGTCCTCCTCAGTTTCCGCAAGCAGGGTTGTGTCATCTGCATAACGCAGATTGTTGATAGATCTTCCACCAATCTTGACTCCACATTTCTCCTCCTAGAACCCAGCCTCCCAGATAATCTGTTCTGCATACAGGTTGAAAAGGTGTGCAGACAGGACACATCCCTGGCATACACCCTTCCTAATTTTGAACCATGCAGTGTTTCTTTGCTCTGTTCTGATGACTACCTCTTGGTTCAAGTATAGGTTTCTCATTAGCACGATCAAGTGTTCTGGAATTCCCATTCTTCTCAGAGTCAGACATCTTGGTGACTTATGTATAACAGTGCTCAGACAAAGTCTGTTGTTGTTTCTGCATGCTGCTGAGTTCATTCTATGTCACAGCAACCGTATTGAACAAGGTGGGCCTGGCCTTTTTTGTTTTGTTTTGTTTCGATCATTTTTTAATTTTTATTAATTTTAATAACATTTACAGAGATTTTTTTTATTTCCATTCATTCATTGTTGCACTTTTCTCCCTGCCTAGCTCTGCCCCAGCCCCCAGTTTACTCCTCTCTTTTTAAAGTAAAAGAAAAATTCTTTCTTAGGCAGCAGTTAACGTTCTCTGCTGCTAACTGAAAAGACAGCAGTTCGAAATCACTAGCTGCTCAGCAGGAAAAAGATGTGATGGTCTGATACCATAAATATTGCAGCAAGGAAAGTACAGGACAGATCCATCCTCTTCTAGAGGGCACTTTAAGTCAGGGTTAACAGCGACAAGTCTGCTTTTCAGTTCTGGTTTAACTCTTCCAGAAGCAAATCACTAGCTCTCCAGTAGAGCCAAGGAGTATCTCTATTTCATCATTGTACTACCAGACTCCTGACGTACTACAAACCAAGTATCATCACCCCTGGAAAAGGCATAGAGTTGGATGGGTAACTTACTCCATTTTTCACAGAGATTTTACTGTTTACATGATTTTGAAATGTTGCATGTTTGTGTTCTTTGCAAATTAAGTAGCACAATAGCCTCTGAGAATGCAGGTGCTTAGTGATGTGAAGAGGGAAGTGGGACCCTAAACAAGTCTGTTCCTCAAGCACAAACGATGGTCTATAGCTGCTAGACCACTGATTTATGAGTTCTGATTAGAAGAATAGAGTGTGATTTTTAAGTCATGGGTGTTTTAGATGTTCAAATGCAGAGTCAGGATCACTCCCTGGAAGTGTTTGAAGATGAATCAACAGATGCTTCTCGGAAATAAATCCAATACTCCTGGCATTGTTCACACATTCATTACTGTGGGCCTGCCTTTACGAGGCATATCAAGCGCATGCTTTGCCCAGAGACTTGTGGAGTTATTTTGACATATCATAGGGAGCTCTGGTGGCATAGACCACAGGAGTTTTGCTGCTTACCCAAATGCTGCACATCTCTGGCAGTTTGAATCCTCTAGTAGCTCTGTTGGAGGAAGATGAACACTCTCCTCTTGTGTTAGTTACAGTCTTGGAAGCTGACCCAGTTGACCCAGTGGAGGGTCAATTCTGATTCAATGGCAAAGAGAGAGAGCTATGTAATAGTGGTTATCCCTCTATTTTATACTGTGTGTGTCTGTCTGTGTGTGTGTTTACACCTTGAATTCTAAAAATCTACCCCAAACTCTCCAGAGTTAGCAAGATGGGAGAGAGGAAGAATGACTGGCTTTGGGATCCAGATGCTCTTCCCATGAATTTAGTCTTCCTTTTGGAGACCTCCCACTTACAACATGAGGAATAACTTCCTACTTAGGGGGAAATATGTTGTTGTTGTGTCCCATAGAGTGGAAACCAACCCATAGTTGACCCGCCAGCAGGTTTTCAGAGGCACAGGAGTTGATTGCCCACCTTCCTCCCACAGAGCAGCTGGTGGATTCGAACTGAAGACTTCTGCATTGGCACTGCTATTCCTTACCACTAAGCCACCAGACTTGGATTCTTTGATTGAGTCTCTATCCTATAATCTCAACTGGACAAGCTTATGTTGTTGTTGTTGTTGTTGTTATGTGCCATCGAGTCATTTCTGACTCATAGCGACCCTATGCACAACAGCCCTAAACCCTGCTCTATCCTGCGCCAACCGCACCGCCTCTGACACACCCATCCCGATTACCCCAGTCACCGAATCAATCCATCTCATAGAGGGTCTTCCCCTCCTGTGTTGTCCCTCAACCCTCCCAAGCATGATGTCCCTCTCCAAGGACCTGTCCCTCCTGGCAACATGTCCAAAGTATGTCAGACGAAGCCCCAGAATCCTTGCCTCCAAGGAGTAGCTTGGTTTAATCCTCTCCAAGATAAATCTGTTTGTTTTCCTGGCAGTCCAGGGTACATTCAGTACCCTTCTCCAGCACCTCAGCTCAAAAGCTTAAAAAAAAAAAGAATAAAACAACCCACCTATAGCCTCCTGGAAGCAGGAGGGGCATCCACTTCTGAAATGGCTTGCCTCAGGGAACTCTATGAACAGTGCTCAGGCCTTTCTTTTGTTCATAGAGTCACTAGGAGTTGTCTACTACTCGATGGCACTGAACAACAACATAGCCTCCAAAGTCCAACGTAGGTCCTACATTCATAGAAAAGCAGTGGCCCCAGCCAGTGATGCTCCCACACAGAAGCGACTGCACAGTCCCTTTAGCTTTCAGCTGATACACAGTCACCAAGGGCCTCATGATAGTCAAACCCTCTTCTCAGGCTGATCACAGCGTGAGAAAGAGGCAGCCCTCAAGCCTCAAATCTCTAACTATAGATACTGCTAATTACATGTTGCTGTTGTTGTTATTTATAGTTGAGTCTAACCCACTTCTAGCTGACCCTCTAGCACATTTTCAGAGGTAGCAAATTGCACTGGAAGAGCTTGCCTATCTTTCTCATGTGTAGCAGCTGGAGGATTTGAACTACTTGCCTTTGGCTGGGCAGCACAATTCCTTATCACGAAGCCACTAGAGCTCCCTCACTCATTCCCTAGGGAAGTTAGTTCACTGCATTCTAGAAGACATTGGGTTCCCAGGCTAAGGTCTCACTGGCTATGCCTTGTAGTTCATATTCATGCAGACCAAACCTTTCTCCTTGTTGAGAAATAAGAGGGAAAGAGGGAAGCAACTTCTGAGGGAGAATAAACACAGAGCAAAGAAAGAGATTGGACATCAAGGTGAATTGCATTCAGAGTTTTATTCTTGCCATAGCTTGAAGGTTGTGCTAACTGTGGCAGGCTGCCTTGATAAAGAAGCAAAGCACAGAGGGAAGAGAACAAGATTCCATGTTACTGGCAATGACAGAGAGTGGGACAGAGGTTGCTGAACACTCAAGAAGGCACAGATGAGAGACAGCAGGCTGGGCAGCGGGCAGTAAATTCTGCAGGTGAACTGGCCTCTGGTGTTTAACAGCAGCAGTCATCCTCATCATCACAGCACGCAGGACCTCGAGACCTCATGGGGATAATTCCTAAACAGCAACATCCAGAGCCACAGCCACAGCCCGAGCTGCAGCAGCAGGAGCCGCAGCCCCCAGAGCTGACACACCCAGAATTTTCGCAGCACCCGTATGATCCTGTGTTGCAGCTCTGGGGCCGCTGGACCCAGCGTCTCAGGGGGCTCACCCCAAAGGTCTGGGGAGCCAGGCAGCAGTAGCTCGTGGAACAGGGAGCAGAGCATGGGTCAGGGACAGAGCACACGGATCCTGCACCCTGCGCGGTGCCACCTGCCGGAGACTGTACGTAGTAGGTCTGACAAGGAGAAGCCCTCTGGACATAATACGTCTGCGTCTGGCAGGGATATTTCACATAGGTCATCTGGCACGGAGGTGGGCACTTCACGTAGGTCTTCTGGCATGGAGCTGGGCATTTCACATAGGTTTGATATGGAGTTGGGCATTTCACGTATGTTTGACATGGAGCTGCGCATTTCACATACGTCTGGCACGGAGCAGGGCATTTCACGTAGGTCTGAGTCTGGCATGGGACCTGGTACTTCACATAGGTCTGAGTCGGGCATGGAGCTGGGCATTTCACACTAGCTTGTGTCTGACCAGCAACGGACTCCGTCACAGAGACGGCTTTTGTCTGGCACGGAGCCGCACACTTCACAGACGTGGATTTTGTGCTTTGCACGGTCCCCAGCCCTGACCCTTTCACGCAGCATGTAGGGAAAAACTGCTGCTGCTGCTTCTGTTGGTCACACATATTTCTTCTTGGTTCTGTAAAATCTGAAGAGAAAGGTTTCATCATAACTGTGAAATGAGGAAAGTTTCCAGGGAAATCTAGATTATCCTCTTTGAACTAAGTGGAATTTATAATTCAGTGTTGTTGTTGTTGTTATGTGCTGTCCAGTCGCCTGTGACTCATAGTTAACCTATGTACAACAGCTCTGAACCCTGCCCTATCCTGAGCCAATTGTATTGTCTCTGACACACCTACTACCCCCATTACCCTAGTCACAATCCATCTCATCCAGGGTCATCCTCTCTTGTACTGTCCCTCTGCCCTCACAAGCGTGATGTCCTTCTCCTAGTATTGGTCTCTCCCAGAAACATGCCCCAAATATGTCAGATTAAGCTTCAAATTCCTTGCCTCCAAGAAGCAGCCTAATTTCACCCTCTCTAGGACGGACCTGTCCTCTTAGCAGTTCATTGAATATTCAAAACTCTTCTCCAACACCACAGCTCAAAAGCTTCGATTTTTCTCCTATCACCTTTAGTCATTGTCCTACTCTCTGATGGAGATACGTAATTGCAAAGGACATGGCCTGGATCAGGTGCACCTTTAAGAAGGCCCTAACTACTCAGAGACTGTGCTTTTGCCAGCTACGATGTACTTGGAGCCAGGGATTCTACACTTGACTTTATGCCTTCACCAGGCTTCATGACTTCGGAGGCAAGGGGGGGGTGGGAGGGGGCAGGAATCTCACTTTAGACTTCAGCTTCCACAATGGAAAAAAAGTTTCCAAGAGTGAAATCTGAGTTTTTTGCTCAATTCTCTGAGTGTTCTTTCTTCTTAGACATTACACAATCAGTATTTTGAATTATCTTTGCGGAAATGTTAGTCTACAGCTGATTCCTCCTTAACATTGACTCTCTCAAGGGTAGCTTTCCTCCTTCCTCCTGCCTAGCCAGAAAGGTGAAGGCAAATATACGTCAATAGAATCCTGAGCCAACAGGGGTCTCGAGCAGATCCCAACAAGGAGCAAAGGACAAACCCAAATTTGAATACTTCTCGTATTTGCTCTTTGTATCGGTTGGATCATCATTTCACCTCTTTGGCACATGGACCCAAGAGGGGCGTGAACACCTGTACTCAGAGAGCAGGGCACTCAGTACTCAGAAAGTCCTTCACACAATGGCTTAGAGTTCGGTGAATTTCTTTCTCTCATTTTATGGTTCAGATCTATGCTTCCAACTAACCACCCCCATCAGCCTCTCTCAGTAAATGTCAGCCAAGGTGCTCCGGGTCTTGTCCTAGGACAGCCTTCTTCCCTCAATCTCCTACTCCAACTCCACTATGGTTCTTTTTTGGTCACATCACCATCACTGACATGGGACTTACCTTCTCTGGTGACAGGAACAAGAGTAGGAGAAGCCAGGGAACTGAGGAACTGGCAAAAGGGGAGACCTTTTATAGGGCACCGTGAGGCAATTTAATGGCATCTAAATGAAGCATAAGTGATCATGAGGGCGAAGACTGGCATTGCATTGGCAAGATTCCTCCTTAGTATGCCTAGCCCTTCAGTCACAGGTAGGGCATGTCTATGCTTGATACGGAGTTTTTATAAACAAGAGATAAATGATTCCTATTACCTTCTTCATGAAACTAGTCAGTCTTCTTTTCCTAGAAGTTATGATTGATGCCTGTGGGATCTGCCCTGAAGGAAACTGTTTCTAGGCCACTTGGGTCTTCAAAAACTGGTCCAAGAAGTGGTCATATTCTCAACTTTTCCCGTGACAACAAAAGCTACACTTATTATTTCCAGTCTAAATGGAATATTCTTTCTTAGGGTACCCGTGATATCTTCTGGTCTGGATTGCTGGGCCCAAAGAGTCTGTCTAGTGCTTTCTGGTTCAAAATGGCAGCAAGATTCCCCAAAATGGTTTGTTCCTCAGACCAGTGTTGTTCTGTTGTTGTTATGTGCCATTGAGTTGCTTGAGACTCATAGTGACCCTATGTACAACAGCTTTAAACTCTACTATGTCTTGTGCCAATCGCACTGTCTCTGACACTCCCATCCCAATAACCCCAGTCACTGAATCAATCCACCTCATAGAGGGCCTTCCCTTCCTGCGCTGTCCCTCCACCCTCCCAAGCATGATGTCCTTCTCCAAGGACCTGTCTCTCCTCACAACATGTCCAAAGTATGTTAGACGGAGCCTCAGAATCCTTGCCTCCAAGGAGCCACCCAGTTTAACCCTTTCCAGGACAAATCTGTTTGTTTTCCTAGCAGTCCATGGTATTCTCAGTACTCTTCTCCAGCACCACAGCTCAAAGGCATCAATTCTCCTTCTATCCTCCTTGGTCATTGTCCAACTCTCTGATGCATAACAGGTGATTGTGAAGACCATGGCCTGTATCAGACGCACCTTAGTCTCCAGAGATACCATTGCTCTTCAGTACTTTGGAGAGGTCCCTAACAGCCGACTTTCCCATGGCAATGCGCCTTTTAATTTCCTGGCTACTGGTGCCAAGAGTGTTGACTGTGGAGCCAGTGAGGTACTCTAAATTCATTTGGAAAACTGGGTGAATACTTGATGAGCTTAGACACCAAACTCTTTGTCTAGACTGTTTCTCCTTCTCCTTCTCATGGCCTACGAGATCCCTTCCCTCCTTATCCTTTACTTCCTGGACCCTATTTAACTAGTCATAGATTCCCAAGTATCTAGCACAAGGGAAATGCTAACCAAATGAACACTTGATAGTCACAATCGCAGTAGAATATGACATTTAAATTATCATATTTTCATTTGTTCTAAACAATCTATGAAATTCAAACTCCTTGCTGTGGAGTTAGAAGTGACTCACAGCTGACCCTCCAGCAGGTTTTCAAGGCTGTAAATCACATGATAGGAGGTTTCCTATCCCACAGAGCCATTGGTAGCTTTGAAATAACAGAGAGGCACTTGCCTTTAGGTTAACAGAGCAAATTCCTATAGACTAGGCCATCAGTTCTCCTAAGAAAACTCAAGACTCATAAATCTTAAAGCTCCCTAAATTCCCTCAGCATAAAGAATTAAAACCCCTACTAGTTCACAGTCTCTCCATTCACTAATAGCATCTCTTCCCATCACAAACCAGTCTTTGTAATATGTTCCTGAACAATGTGAAAGAAGCACAAACGGATGTTATTCACAGACTTTAAATTTGTCCTGTTTCTATCTTTCCTGCCTGTGATAGACATCACAACTTCTTCCCAACTGGTGACACTCATTAGGATGACTGCAGTGTGGTCCCAGGCCTACCAAGGCCTGAATTTTTTTTTTCATTTCTATTAATTTTAATGAAAGTTCACAAAGACTTTGGATTTCCATTCATTCATTGTTGCACTTTTCTCCCTGCCCAACCTCCCCCCCAGTTTCCTTTTCTCTTTTAAAAGTAAATTAAAAATTTTTTCACTGTTATACAATCCCTCCCCCAAGTCCACTCCACTATGAAGCCTTCGTTCTGACTCCTGTCATGACAATAATACCTAATCATATATCCCTTTTAAACCGTTCTTTCCTTCATCTGTTTCAATGCAGTATATTTTTCCCATCTTTCTCAGTCTTCCCCAAACCTTATGTCAGTTCCATTTTACAACAGTGACACTATGCAATATTTGTCCTTTTGTGACTGAGATATTTCACTTAGCATAATGTTCTCCAGGATCACCCATTTTGCTTAATATTTCATGACTTCCTTGTTTTTCAATGCAGTGTAGTATTCCATTGTGTGAATATACCAGAGCTTCTCTAGCCATTTGTTTGTTGATGGGCACTTAGGTTGTTTCCAACTCCTTGCTATTGTAAACAAAGATGAGAGAAATATGGGTGTGCATATATCTGCTTGCGTGCCTGTTATTGTTTCTTTGGGGTATATTCCCAGTAGTGGAATTGTTGGGTCAAATGGTGTTTCTATTTGCAACTTTTTGAGAAAGTGCAAGGCCTGATATTTTATGGAGGGGAGGGCGATTAACAATCTTTTATTGGGACGAGACACTTTATATGTGTTATTTCATCAAATTTTGTGCTCATTTGGGGAGTCATAATGAGTAGAACCAACTTGATGGTAAATGGTTTGAGTTTTTATTTGCTTACTTCTTTTTGGAACTACTAGGAATCAGAATTGACTCAGTAACAATAAATTCCACTGTTTTGGTTTTAAGAATCCCTGGGTGGTGTAAATGTTCCAGAAGACAAGTTCTTGAAAATGCACGAAATCTAGAAAGGGAACATAATCTGCTACAAACCAGAAGGCTCGAGGTTCAAATCTATTCATAAATGCCCTGGAAGGAAGATCTGGGGATACACTTCCAAAAAACGAGCCATTGAAAACCTTTTAGTGAACAGTTCTACGCTGGCACGCTTAAAGTCTTCATGCGTTGAAATTTACTTAACAACAGCTGATGGTGATGGGAGAAATGACTTAAGAAAAAAAAATCATAACCTGCCCTGTCTCACATAGTTAGAAATTGGGGTGGCAGAATTTAAACCTAGGGAACAAGAGACACAAAATCTATGGTTTGTTCTCCATAGCAAAATGCTTCTAGAATTAAAATCCATGCTGTTTTAGGAATCATATTTTAAGTTTCTAAACAATCAGGAAGTTATCTTGCATCTATCTCTCTTTTTTAAATAAAATTTTTAATTGTAATTGTGATTTTAAGAAAAGTTTACAGAAAAGTTAGATTTTCATTCATTCATTTTTGCACATTTTTACTTCATCTCCCTCCCTTCCCCCTCCCCTAGTTCATATTTTTTGTTCTTTAAAATATTCATTCATTGTAGCACAATCACCTCCCCCCCTGACCCCCCCGCCCCCGCCAAGTGTTTTTTTTGCAGTGTACCTCTTATTCTGGGTTGTTGTTGTATATATAATGACTAATCATATATATCTATATTATACATGCAGGATGGATAAATCTCATTTTACAGGGAAGGGGATGTCTTTCTAGGATATGTCTAAAAACAAGTGATGTTCAGAATACATGGGAGACCTGA